AAGGAAATGCGAAAAAAGGAAGAAAGGGGGGGGGGGGATGAGAGAATAAGGTTGTGTATGAGCTTACCCAGTGATGGTTCAGGTAGTCCCTCCTCAGAGCTGTCCTCAGCACCCTCCTCACCCATTCCAGAGGTCAATGAATCTTCTGGGGCTGAAGCTGAGCCTGGAGTGCTTGGCCCAGTGACAGACCCAGAGTCCCCCTCCTCACTGCTGGACCCATATCGGTCTGGCTGAGTAGCCATCCCACTCTCACTGCAGCTCCTGCGTTCTTTCCTGTGCACCCGTGAATGGAGTACCATTTGGTGGTAGGTGCGGAAAATCTTGCCACATTCAAAGCACTCGGTGGACTTGTTTTGGGATGCTCTCCTGCTTTGCTTTGAGGAGGGTCTGTAGTCCAGGTCCCCCTGGGAAATGATACAGTTTTCACCTGATTGCACACCACTGTTTTTCTCCAAACGTCCACTAGCACAGCTTTTCTTCTTGGGGTTGCTAGATGAGCTAAGTGAATCCTGATCTCGCTTGCGCTTTTCCTGATTAACAAGAATGTATTCTCTTTTATCCTTGTCATAAGTTACATCAGCATCAGCTAGGACTTCATCCCACCCCACATACTTTATGTACTCAGAAGGCTCAGCTACTTTTCCTTTGGTGGCCAAATGCCAAGCCTGGTAGCTATTGACTGGATCCAGCTCAGCTACCCTTTTTCCAAGCTGCCCTCTTGTAACTCTATCTGTTCCTACAGATGGCCTCAGATTCAGGCACTGTAAGAAAAACTGCTTTGTTACAGATGGATCTAGGCTCCCATCAATTAAACTCTCAGCTTTGTCCTCAATGCTGCTTCTTTGAGCTTTGTAGTGAACAGCATTGTGTGCTTTTAGGCTTTCCATATTTGTAAACAGATTCCCACACTTGGTGCAAACTTCGTACAGAGACAAGCCAGTCACAATAGTTTCCTCCTGAATCACATCATTAATAGTGGCTATAAGCTCCAAATCATTTTTTGGTTTGTTCTTGCTCCCTGTCTTTGGGCCATGAGCTTTCATATGGTTTTTGAGAAACCAGGGTTCTTTAAATCTTCTGCCACAAATATGGCATCCATGATCAAATGAACCCCTATGTTTTTTCATGTGAGCTTTAAGAAACCAGGTTTGACTAAAGGCCTGACCACAGACTTCACAAGGGAACTCGCCAGCACTCAGTTCACTCTTGCAGTTCTCAGTGTAAGCTTCCCCATTTGGAACCTGAGCTATAATATGGTCTTTCTCTATGTGGTTTAACAGTGTCTCTTCTCTTAATGTCATGTAGTTACAGAGCCTACATTTGAACGGCTTATGTACTTGGTGTATGTGCTGTTCAAGATCTTTCTTTCTCTCAAACTTGTTTTTGCAGAAGGTGCACTGGTAAATAGGTAGTTTACCATCTTCTGCTGGTGTTGAATCTGCCACCTCCTTCTTACTGCTTCTCAACAAGATCTTGCCATTGTCTGTCTGGGTTGCACCATTCACAATCTTGTTGCAAGCAGATGTACTTTTGGTGGGGCTGGTGCACCCATCAAGGCCTTCCGAGACTCCCATCTCTCCGAGCTGGGCCTCTCCCATCTCTACCTCGTGCCCCTGACTTAAAGTGCCTGTTCTGTGACTCCGAATGTGTATCTTCAAGTTGCCCTTTTGGGAGGCTCTGTGGTCACAGTAAGGACATTTATAGGGCTTCTCTCCTGTGTGCTTCCTCATATGTTGGGACAGGGAGCTTTGAAAAGGAAAGCTTTTGCCACAGATGCAGCAGCTGTGGCACATGGCCTTGTCTCCATCAATATCATTCTTGTTCATCTTGCCAGGACTGGAGGACCTTCGTAACTCCATTTCTGCTTCTCTGTTGCGGTCCATCTGTACTACTGCCACAACATCAGTCAGACAGGGCAGAAGGACCAAACCGTGTCCAACAGCAAAGAGCCAGACAGCGTTTTCAATCATATGGTTTTGCCAAGTGAGTTTTCTCTCTTCATTTTCAGTTGAAAGGTCCTCCTTTTGATGCCTCAAAAAAGACTGAGTTGTCAATGGATACGTGTGTGTTTCATAAGCAGACAACACTGAGCACCTAAAATGAAAACAAAGCCCCCCAAAAATTAAAAAATTGTTCGAGTATATTCTTAAAATATGTTTAGGACTATTTACACTTTCTCTTGGGCTGTTTGTGTAATTAACCCCAATTTCAAATGCATATTATACTTTAGATTTATTTTAATTCAAGTAAAGAAGAGCAGTACCTTTCATTCATACTCTGTAACACTCATTACTTCAATTACACAATGAGCAGTTAAGGCATCAATAATAAAAAGAACTTTTGGTAAAAAAGAATGATGTCCACCCAAGGAGAAAAGGTTTAGGGGAGAAATCTTAAAAAGAAAAACTTCCTAAAAAAATCTTTAATTTTTAAACTGAGCTAAAGTATCTATATACATCTATATAGATACAGAGAAGTAGATATATAGATCTCTATCTATCTAGAGAGATGCGCACGTGCACACACACACACACACACACACTTTAAAATTAGACCATTACTTGAAATGGTTGTTTCATTTTAGGTCTATGTCTTTATAATCTCATGTAAGGTATTTTCCTGCCCAGAGATAAAGGTTCTTCCTGAAGACATTCTTTATAAAATACAGAATTCCTGTTAAAATTGAATTAGTTTTTGTCTCAGGAAGTTCTGTTCTGTTTGATTTGGCTTGTATTCCATGGAAAAGACAAGGAAACTATAGTACACTTCACATACTCAAAGAAGATAACAATAATATGGAGACTAATGAAGTGTTCAGTATATCTTGACATGGTTTCCCAGTGGACAGCCAAATGGGGCAGAAAAAAAATGAAAATAAAAAAAAAAAAGGTAATTCAAGATGCAGTCCCCAATTCAGCACAGCAAATAAGCACGTGCTTAGATACCACTGATGGTAAGAGTGGTTATGCCAATGGGGCTCACATGGGAGTATGTGCTTAGTCATAAATGATACTTTGGTCAATGATGAACAAAACTGTATAAAGCAAGGCACAACAGCATGTTTAATAATAAGCACTTTTAAACACTAAATCAAGGGGAGGGAACACCAAGCATGGGTACCAGAGCATGGCACATGAAGGCATTTTGCTTGACACTCACACCTCGGAAAAGGGGCCGTGGCTGCATTGCTACAACAAAGATCGGCTCCCCGGTGGCTTCCTCACCATCTGCCCCAGCACTCCAACATCTTACAAATGGAGGTTGGGGTGTTTTTGGCACTCTGTCCAAAAATGTTGCCGACCCCTACACTAGATCCATTATTTGAATCAGCACCCCAATATGAATTTTAAAATAAACTCCTGACACTGCACACAGATGACAGAAACATTCTTCTTTAAAATATTATATCTACTCAAGTTCAGGACAACGCTGAATATAAGATCAACCCCCAAATAATTAGATTCTATATATGAAAAACATTCTTAGAATTTTCTAGGTATTGCCTTAAATTTGTCCCCCTCCCATTTCTACAGCAAGTGAATTATATTTGGGGTGGGGGGAATCAGGTGCCCCCCTTGCCCTTTGTGCCTCCAACTTCTTCCTCCTCCCCCTTACTGTCAGACCCTGCTCTCCCTGAACACATGGAATGAGAAGCAAACTTGAAAGCACTGACTTTGAACTAAACATGTCTGTATGGGAACCCATAGACTTGGCTCATCCAAAACTGATACATTTTACCTTTCTTGAAACTGCTGCAAGTTTTAACACAGGTACTCCATAAACACATTTCCAAGCAAAACTTTTGTACCTACTTATACATAGAGGTCTACCCAACTCAAGGAAGTTGCCAGCCAATTTCATGGGGAGATCACAGGGCTGGCCACCATTTTTGCAGACTGATTGCAGGAGATTTCCCCCATGCCTCCGACTGGTTATGGGGCCCCAGTAGCCTTGTCCCTCACTGCTCATTGATTACAAGGGCAGTCTGTCATGCAGTCACACCCCTCACAGGCAGCCCTCATCCAATGGAGAGGGGTGGGGGCAGTAGCCATTTTGTGCTCCCCTTCATACCAGCAGCACCTCCCTCCCCAGTGGGCTGCATAGCCATGCTGCAGCACCATCAGGACTGGTGGATCCCTCTGTGGAGCCAGCATTTTATTTTCAGTAAGTTTTGCAGGGCGGGGGTTTTCTTTTGGGTTTTTTTGCAGATTTCACAGGCATTGTCTAATTTCACAAGCAATGCCAGATTTTGCTATTTCTGTACAATCACAATTTTGGTAGGTCCCTATTTATACATAGTACAAAATGTGCATGATATTAGTCAAGAGTCAAAAGGCTCATGATTTATCATATAGTTCACTGGGCTGGGCACCAGCAGTCAACAAGAATTCATAAGCACATGAGGTGAAGGGCAACCTCACCCAACTCCACCTCTTTGAGAGCATGGCCACTCTAATCATGTGAGAGAGAGATTCTGAGTAAATTTTTGGGGCCCCATTTGGTTATGTTTGCCAGACATTTAAGGCTGGTGAAGAAACAGGAAGCATCGGAAATGGCAAAAAAAGGTGCAGCTCCCTGTGGCAACGAAGAGGAAATCCAAATGTATACAATATAGTGGCTCACCATGAATTCCAAAAAAAGATAGTGCTGAAGGGGACAGAGCGCAATGGGCACTACCATGTATCTTATTCAGATGGGTTGCACTATCCTATCTTCATGCTAGACTCTCATCAGCATGATTGCCCAATATGGGCCATGTGTTTTAGAGTCATAGCCAGTGTTTGCTGCATTTAATCAACTTCATAGTTGGTTTCCATTACTGAGCATATGCTGCTTTTGGCAGCAGTTTAATGATAGACACGGTATTTAATGAGGTTAAATCCTGATACATAAGTATAAGATGAGGGGCTTTTTCTCCCTTGCTCATGGAGGGGAAAACCTCATCTTGTATTCAAGATTATATTAACTAATATTGCATTTTCTCCACTTTACAGCTATTTAATAAGGTAGATATTAACAAGGCATTAGTTACACCAGAGGTAAGCAACCCCAGCATGCCTACCAGTGTCTCACATGAAGGCACTTTGCTTGGCATTTGCACCTTGGGGAAGGGCCAGGGCTGCACTGCTACAAAAAGGATCAGGCCCTTCACAGCTCCCCCGCCATCTGCCCCTGACACATCAACATCTTACAAGTCGAGGTTGCAGGTGTTTTTGGCATTCCGCTCAAAAATATTCGGGACCCCTGGTCTACACTATTACTTAAGAAATGGATTTTTCGTCTCTTAATACTAAAGATATAAACAGATATAAAAAGCAACAGCAAAATCAAAACCACATATAAAGGCTTCTGCTACTAAAGACTCCTGACCCAAAAATAAGAAAAAGAAATTTAAAGTTGCAAAGTCATTTTGTTTACCTCAGATTATATCCAACAGGGAAGTGAATAAAAGTAGTTTGACCAGAGATAACTTCATACGCTCAGCACAACACAGGATAAAACAGTTGTAGTACTGATCTCAGATACTCATCTAGATTTGTATGTAATAACTGTTTTTAAACTAATCTAAGCCTTTAATTTTCTAAGAAAGAATTCAGTTTTGATCTTCTACATAATTAATTATGGTAGCTTCCCGTTTAGCCTTTTAAGAGGTAAGCATCAAATTATCTACCATGTCCTCAAGGAGCGCTGCAACTACAAATCTCTCCAAAAGGTACATCTCAAATTCAACAATGGAGGCTTTTTTTTGTTGTTTGTTTTTCAAATTGTAAACTTCATAAAGCACATTTTTCTATTTGGAACTAACATACTAACTACCTTGCACTGGGAAAATTGTATCCTAGTAACAGCTCAGATGTCCATATAAGCACCAAAGCTATAAAAAGAGTATCTGAACACCTGATCCCCCAAATTAATAGCTTAGGACTGAGTTAAAGGAAGCCCCTAAAGGCATGTTTGACTAAATTATGGTAGCTGTCTAGAAAAATAGGAAGGTACAACAAAAGTACAGGTTTCCCTCAATTTATATGGGTTCTTTATATGCGAATTCGCTCTTACGCTATGAGCATATTTAGACCCATAATTTGTTATATGCAAGGTAAATTCAGTCTTATATGATCAGCATAGACGCCCCCATGCCTAAGCAGGTAAGTCTGTGGGGGGAGGGGAAAGGACTGTGGCCCCACTCACCCCAGCCCCGGCTGCAGTGGCCCCAGGAGCAGCCAGCACCAGCTGCCTGCAGCCACTGGGCTACGCCGTGCTCCGCCTGTCCCTTGCTGGTCCCCACTCACCGCTGCTTCTGAGCTGTGCCGTGTCCTGGAGCAGGCAGCTGGCGTCGGCTGCTCCCAGGGCCACTCTAGCATGGGCTGGGGCGAGAGCTGTGCCCCGTGCCACCCAGGGCTCCACTTGCCCACACTCACCCAGCCTGTGCTGGAGCGGCCCTCGGAGCAGCCGACACCAGCTGCCTGCACCAGGGCATGATGCAGCCCAGAAGCAGAGGTGAGTGGGGACAAGTGGAGCCCAGATGCGAAGGGACAGGTGGAGTATGGTGCAGCCCAGTGACTGCAGGCAGCTGGCACTGGCCGCTCCTAGGGCTGCTGCGGCTGGGGTGAGTGCTGCTCTGTTCCCTCTGCTTTGCTGCCTTGTGCAGCCCCAGGAGCTGCACCCCTCCCCATGCCCCATCCCTACTTCCAGTCTCACTCCCTGCCTCACCACCATGGGAACCTACCCCTATTTGTTACAATGTAAAGTGGACTTGCTTTACGCAAATTCAATTTATGCACTGTTCTCTAGGAACACATATACAGCATAAAAATCAAGGGAAACCTGTACAACAAACAAGCCAAAAACAAGAAAGCAAACAAACACCAAACCTCACACTAGAGACTGATGAATGGAAAAATTCAAATAAAGGAAAACCTCATTTGAACCATAAACCAGCTTTATCTAAGCTTCAGACTCATTGCTCTAATTTTTTTTTATTATTATTATTATTATTATTATTATTATTATTTTAATGATACTTCCAGGCCTGGCAAAATTCAGTCTAATCAAATAGTGGGGAAATAGTTTTTCAAGAAATATTCAGCCCAAGT